AAAGAAACAGACCACAGTTCTTAAAAAATGACCAGGGAACATGGGTAACAGGGAAAAATGAAATTGAAGAGACTATCCAAAATTTCTACAAGAATCTCTTTGGAACTGAGAATTGCATTTTCATTGACTCTAACTAGTATAGTCATCAAGCTAAGTTTGACTAGGTTGATAAACAGACACTTGAAGCTCAGGTCATGGACTTGAAATCAAAAAAGCTGTTTTTAATATCAAACCCTTTAAATCACCTAGATCTGACGAGCTTCAAGCTATTTTCTACCATAGATACTCGGATGTCATTGGTAACTTAGTGTGCCAATAAATCAAACATATTCTAAGTAGGAAGGAGTGCCCTGAGAATATTAATAAAACATGGATTGCTCTTATTCCTAAGATTGATAATCCCTCCTTACTTTCACAGGTTAGACCCATTAGCATGTGCAATGTTAATTATAAAATTGTGTCTAAACTGCTTGTCTCAAGACTTAGGCCTTTTCTGGATAAACTCATCTCCCCTTTTTAGAGTAGCTTTATTCCTAGGAGACAGACCATTGATAATGTTATTGTCACCCAGGAAATAATTCATTCACTTAAGAGAAGAAAAGGTAAGAATGAAGAGATGGTTATTAAAATCGACTTGAAAAAGCTTATGATAGAGTAAACTAGCCTTTCCTTCACCAAACATTGATTGATATCAATTTTCCCAAATCCTGGATTGACTTGATTATGAGATGCATGACAGGTGCATCCCTGTCTATCCTATGGAATGGATCCCCTTGGACCCAATTAAACCCAAAAGAGGACTTAGAAAGGGAGACCCATTGTCTCCCTACCTTTTTACTTTATGTATGGAGAAATTAGGGCAGATTATTCAAAGCAAAGTTGAAAAAGTAATATGGAAAAGCATCAAGACCTCTAGAAAAGGCCCAGCCATCACTCAACTTCTTTTTGCCAACGATATTGTTCTTTTTTCTAGGGCTTCTGAAAAAGATTGTGACATGATTAAAACTATACTGGAAGAAAACTTACTCTATCGCAGGCCAAAAAGGTAGCACCACAAAATCAAGAGTTTATTTTTCCCCTAATATCAGTAGGAGCCAAGCAGTGCATTTAGGAAGAAGAAGTACATGCACTAAAGACCTAGGAAAGTATATAGGCATCCCTATCATTCATAAGAGAATTAGTAAGGAACACTACAACTCTATTATTCCAAACTAAATTGAGTGGATGGAAGAGTAAAAATCCCTCCCTGGCAGGGTGAAATACCCTTATCCAAGTTGTAACCTCTATTATTCCAAGCTATATAATGCAGACTTCTTGGTTACCACAATCCACCTGTGAGAAAATTAACATATTAAATAGGAATTTCCTATGGGGGGATACAGAGGGAAAAATGAAAGTGCATTTGATCAACTAGGATATTGTTTGCTCCCCCAAGGTGCTAGGGGGTTGGGATTGAGAAAGTGTAGGGACAATAACTTAGCTATCCTTTCTAAACTAGGATGGAATTTTCACTCTGTAAGTAAGGCCCTATGGGTTGGAGTGGTCAAAGATAAGTACATGAATCCATCTTCAAATGATTGGCCACATAAATCTAATGCATCCCCAACATGGAGAGCACTGTTAACAACTAACCAAATTGTGAATGAAAATACAAAATGGCTCATTGGAAATAGTTCAAAAGCCTAGCTATGGAATGACTGGTGGATAGGTGAAAGTCCACTGTATGAAAGGTTACAAATCCCAGCTACAGTTGATCTTAGTAGCACAGTGGCGGAGCTCATAAGCCCTACAGGTAAGTGGAACATTCAAAAAGCAGGTATGTACCTCCTCTCAAATGTTATTTCTGATCTTTTGCACTTACCACTTCCATCAGAAGTCTCCCTCCAAGACTTAGCATCCTAGGGTCTTACAAGCAATGGTAAATTCTTTATAAAATCTGCTTATAACTGGATTACTAAACCTGTTCCAAGTGAACAGCATGATTTAAATTGGAACTGGATATGGAAACTTGGGTCCCACAGAAACTTAAAATTTTCCTGTGGCTGGTCCAAAGTGATAGACTTCTTTCCAATTTCCTAAGGTTGACAAGAAACCTCACTGATGATCCTGCTTGCGAGATACGCAAGGCTCTAAATTAGAATACTATCCACATTCTGAGGGACTGCCTGAAAGTTGAATTGGTTTGGAAACTATTCCTCAAAAGGAATGATCTCCGACAACAACATTCCATGGACCTCCATAATTGGCTCATTGAAAATTATAGAACCGAAAATGATGTTTTTTGGAGGGGATTTAAATGACCTATTCCTTTTGCTTCTTTGATTTGGAATATTCGGAAAGATACGAATCAAGAATGCTTGGGGAACATAATTAATTCCCCCCATGCTATTGCCAAGACAGCTTGGAGAATGGCACGGGAATCATAGGATGCTTTCAATGAACCCCAAACCTAGGGGACACCTAATCACCCCAATCTTATTGGTTGGTCTTTTCCTCCTGCAAGATGGATGAAGATGAATATGGATGTAAGCCTTAAAGGAAACCTTGACCCAACCACAATAGGGGGACTGCTAAGGAATGATCAAGGAAGGTGGCAGCTAGGTTTCAACGGGGAGCTAAATGATTCTACTAGCTTGCAAGCTGAATTGTGGCTATTTTCAAGGTCTCAAGATTATTCAAGCATAGAAGCTTAAGAAGGTCATCTTAGAGACTGATTGTTTGGAAGCCCTCAACCTAATCACTGCTAGGTTAGAGGATCCCCATTCCAAAAGGAATATTATTGCCAATTGCAAACACTTAATGGGATTGACTAATACTCCCATTATTCACACACTAAGAGAAAGAAACTTCTACGCTTACAAGATGGCAAGCCTGGGATGGCAACAACAAGAACTTTTTGTGTTTTTTGAAATCCCACCGCCTGTGTTCGGACATTACCTTTTGAATGATCTTTCTTGTACTTATTTTGCTAGGGGATTTAGATAATCTCTCTTACTTTTTATTTGTACCAAAAAAAGAAAGAGAGGAGTTTAACAAACTCCTGGATACCAACAAGCCAGAAACAACCCAGCAGCAACAAATGAATAATCTAGCCGCAAGACAGCAACAAACCCAACCAAGCCAGCAACAACCCAAGCCAAAACTAAGCCACAACAAATAGATTAGGTAGAAATATAGTAGCAAAGGATCAACCCAGCAACAAGGAAGAATAGTCGAAGCTGCCGAACAGACTGGTGAACAAACTGCCGAACCCAAGATCCAGCCTATATTCAATCCAAATCAACTCCAATACTTCAAAAAATTGTTAAAGGATCATTCATAGGTCTAAATCAACCCCTTTAGACTAGATCTCGACCCTCAAATTCAAAGATATCTCCCAAAAACTCAAATTTAAGAATTTCGACAAAAATTCTTCCAAAGTCTTTGAAAATTCCAAAGACTTACCAAATAGTCTCAAAATCCAAAACCAAGCATAACATTGAGGAGAAGCCCATGCAAAATCGAGTGGAGAGGTCTTCTTTCTTGCTCCATATTGCTAAAATCATCACGTTTGATGGTGATGTCATCAAGTCCGACGATGATGTCAGCCGTAAAGCTTAGTCAAAAAAAAAATTTCTGTTAAGTTCTATGATGCTTTAATTGTGTTTAGGATTCACAATGTACTCTGATACCATGATATAATTGATTAACAAAGATAAGGACAGAGAAAGTAGATAAGAGAAAGACAAAAAATATTATTTGCCTAAACTAGTCTATTATGCTAATTACCCTAAAAGTACACAAAGTAAAACTTATATAGTTAGGCAACAAAACATAAAATAAATGCCTAAACTACCCTTAATATTAATACTCCAACGATTATCACCACCTTCAGTATCACTGAAACCTTCCATAAACCATTCACCACCCATCATCACAACCGTATCCATTTTGAATCAATCACAAATCTAACTCATCAAAAATTAGCTGCAAATTACAATTTCCCTAAATTATTCACCACCCACCACTACCACCATGGTTGTGGCCAACTGTGTGTGTGTGAGAGAGAGAGAGAGGGAGAGAAAGAGAGAGAGAGAGATTTGTTATATGTTGGTTTTTTTGGAGGACTTTCCACTCAATATCTTTCAATCATCCAAATATGAACCCAAAAAACACAAGAATTATACATACAAATCAAGCACTTCACGCAAAACATGTCCTGTCAAAAAATCCATTACCAGTAGTCAAGCAAAGTCATAAATCAGAATGTAAATATACCAACTTCCACACGTTAGTTGATAAGCATGGTTTAATGCTACATGATTTGGATTCTATTAGACTCGGGCGGTTAGGCCATCCTTTGGTTGTTTATAGGTTTCCTGATATGTGCAACCAAACTGTAGACTTTTGCATCTTTTCCAATTTTAACTCTCACTGAAAACCCCAATGTTTATTAATTGTTTGAATATTGAGGTGAATGGTTCTTAACACGTTGAAACCATTACCTAGATAAGAGTCATCGTTAAAGCACAAAATGGATGGGTGAAGATTACTATAATATATAACACGATGAAAAAAAAAAAGCCAAAGGGAGTGGGGGTGGGGAAGGGGCTGTGAGGTGAGGCTGGAAGGGGTTGGAGGCTATGGGGGGTGGGCTTGATGGAAGGGTGCAGGAGTGATGGGGATCCGAATGAGGGGAATGTGTTTGGGGTAGGAGTTGAGTATAGGTTCAAGTTTGGGTTTTGTGTAGGCATGGGTGTGAATTTGGGTAATGACTTATCTATAATAGTTTAATATTGATTAGTCGAGGTAAAACAATATTTTGTTCAAATCATTAATATTGTCTAACAATTGGAGTCACCATGTCATTTTTCAAATGTCGAGTGCCGTCTTTGTAATATCAGCAGAACTCGAGAGGCTGTGTGTGATTTTTTTCCTTTCTTTCCAAGAGAACGCATTTCAACATTCAAACACAACACCAAAAAAATAAAATAAAATAAAATAGTAGCGTGTAGTTAAGTTCAGCGGCTTACACGGTCTAAAAGGTAGTCACTTGGACCATCTGTCCTAGGAGTTTCCCCCGCTTGCCCACTGACAATTTGAAGTGCGACTACTCCAAAGCTGTAAACGTCTACTTTATATGATAAGAGACCATCCTTGACGTACTCAGGTGCCATATATGTCCTGCAAAAGAACCTCCGAATGAGGATGATCATGCATTTATCTTGAAAGCGAGACAATTCCATAATTAATAAGTCAGTTCTCACAAACAATACTGGCTTTTCTTATAGGAGTGTCATGGAGGGAGCTTCATTACGTGGTTCCTCCTGTAACTTTTGTTTTTCTAGCAACGTGTGTCTTTTCCTCATCATCTACTGCAGTGGTACCTGGCGTCTTAGCTAATCCAAAATCAGATATCTTCGCCTTGAGATTTGTGTCTAGAAGAATTTTTGTTGGCTTAATATCTGTATGAATAATTTTCTCTTGTGATTCTTCATGGAGAAAAGCCAGACCTTTCGCTATGCCCAGACAAATTTTGACCCTAGTTGGCCAATCTAGCCTCTGTCGGAGTTCCTCTGAACCTGTAAACAACCAATCCTCAACAATTTTGCACACTATATCAGAAACATCTAGTGATAAAGAGGAGCATGGAAAAACTTGTCTATACCGAATAGTGCATGTTCAAGGGACTTATTTTCCATGTACTCGTAGACAAGGAGGATATGGTTGTCTTGTGCAAAACTTCCAAGTAGTTCTACAAGATGTTCATGTTTCAGAAGAAAAATAGTGCTGATCTCATTTGCAAACTCACGGTTTCCTTGCTTTGATTTTCCTGAAAGTTTTTTAACTGCTATGAAAGTCTCATCAGGAAATTTGCCCTGCATTCATGTGGAAATTTTTTTATTAATTAACAGAAGAATATGCAATTAGCACACTAGTCTTGAGTTCCTGAAGTTGCTACAAAATAATGGTGTAATTATGACTCAATCCCATGAGGTTACACAAAATGGATTGCTTGGAATCAATCCTAACATTCTAATTGTTTATGACTCAATCTGATGAGCTTACATAAAATCGATTGTTTTGGGATCAATCCTAACTCTTTTTGGACATAACTTTACCCCCATTGAGTTGTTACTGGACCCAAAATAGTAGCAACTTTCAATATGGTACCTCCCTCGGTATAGTTGAATCCATGATCGAATATAAGAATAACTATCAACTCATTTACAATTGGAAGGAACAAGAATAAATGCACATGCAGATATGTCTTTTTGTACAGTTTTGGTACTTCATTTCATCTGTCCCTACGTCCATGTACTGTGGACCTAAGATCATATGGGTAGAATCCTAGACAATCCAAAAATGAAAGGTCCGATTTCATGTGACATAACCTAAAACGAACTAAATGCTGAATTTACAACTCCAATGCAACAATTGAAATAGTACAGACCTTATAGACAGATCCAAAACGTCCTGCACCTATCTTGTTCTCATCATTGAAATTGTTTGTGGCAGCTTTTATTTGATAGAAGTCGTAAATGCCTACACAAAATAACACGATGTCTTGAAGTTCTGTTTCAACATATCAGCAATCAAATGGGGAAAAACAGTAAAGCAAGATGCTGTTATCATGCGAGAAGGGTCAAATTGCTTATTGATGTGGTGGTGATCAAACTAAGCTTTATACTGAATTAGTCTTTCTTACCTACATAAAGTAGTTCGTTGCCACCAAACCATCCGAACATCCAGAAAAGAAGTAAAACGAATATTAAGAAAAGGAATGCCGATCCTACAATCCCGCTGATACTCACAACAGATAGTTGTTTTCTGCTAGAAGCTATGCGTTTTGGAACTATTTTAAGGAAATGAAAACAATAAAATTCAGTGATACAACAGAAACCATCACCAATTGGCAGCTGAAAGAAATGGAACAAAGTGGATAGATTATACCAGGCGTTACCGAAATGGCGGATATAAGAGGACCATAATATTTACTCGGGGTAACTGTTGAGCCTTTGCCAGACCAATATAAGTGAATCTCCAGCCGTGAGTCAGTCACATTAACAGTAAACTCCTCCGTTTTATTCTTATTGACACCCCCTGCTGCTTCTGTTATATTGAAATTCCTCAATTTCTTCTCACCCTGCAGTGATCATATATCACAATAAATGCAATTCGTAGAGTTAGGAAATCATGATATGATGGTTTACCTGGATTTCAACATCAAAAACTCGCCTTTCCTTGCCGCTATGAACTTTGGTATCATCCCATGTTATTTCAGCAAAGTGAAGTCTCACCACGTATGTGTCTCTTTTCAGACAAAATCCATAATACTTCAGGGATATTGGGGAAATGCGTGCGTTCATATACAAAGGTGCATCAGCCATGGAAAGATTGCATGTTCTATTTGTTATATATCTGCTGCCATCAACGAATGCCCCCATACTACTGTAAGCCCAACTTTTATTTTCACTAAGAAAAAAAGTTGATGCCCCTTCTTGTTGCAAATCAGCTTCAAAATTACTATTATTAATTGACATTTGTTCACCCCCACAATTTATATATATGTGATCATCTGCAATATAAATAATGATATCATAATCTTTTTGATGAAAGTTTACTAAAGAAAAAAGAACATGACAAGGAGTTTGCCTCAATTAATTGAAAACAGACGACAAAAACAGGCATCCAAGAATGTGTAAACAACTAGCAATGGTACAATACACCACTGATGCTCTAGATGTGATAAAAGAGGAACACTATTTTTTAGCGTGACCATTCAGTAGGGAAACTATGACAACGAAATAATATTCTTGCTCCAATCTCAAGATAATGGCCTGCCACCAAGGAACTAAATTTTGTTTCGAAATGTCCGAAACATTTCTGTTTTCATGGAGATCAAAACGAATCATTGATTGAATATCATAATTCCTATATTTCGAGATGTTTTGAGGTGTTTCGACCTATGTTTCAAAATGTTTTGAATAAGGTTTTGAAAATAAATTTTCAAATTTTTTTTTATTTCTATCTTATTTCCAAAATATTTTCAAAACATTACCGAAACGTTTCCGTTTTCAAGCTCACGGAAACTGTGCATCAAAACAAAATTTTGATCATTGCCTTGCACTACCAGGCAACTACCAAAGTTCCTAGGTTCTTTGTCTCACTCCCGACCTAAAAGAACAAAAGGATCCTAATTATTTTGTGGAATGGATTTAGAACTCAACTCAACACAACAAAGTCATATGTAGGGTCAACTACATAAATCATGTTTCTCCGTTATACTTTATCAAATATCATATTTTCCATTATAAAGTATGTAAGCTATGATGATTTTTTTTCCTCACTAAATCGCTCACAGTTAATTCTGGCCTACCTCCACCTCTTGCATTACCATCGATATATAAGTTAAATTATGGATTAAATAAAGTTTAGACTAATAGAAAAGAAGATAGGAGAAAAAGAAACAAGATTATGGGAAGAGAATAGTGTGTTAGGTTCCACAGCTACACCTAGCTTTTATAAAATCACCAAGTACAAAACTACCCTTGTCTAGAAATAACACATAATGTAACACTTCCTCTCAAGTTGGTGCATAAATATCTCTTATACCTAAATTGCAAATAATGGGATAAAAAACTCTACTACCAAGACCTTTTGTGAAAACATAAGCTAACTGATTTTATGATTTCACAAAAGGCATCCAAATCAATCATTTATTTAACTTCTATTTGATAAAGTGTTGATCAATTTCAACATGTTTGGTCCTGTCATGTTGAACTGGATTATGGGCAATGTTAATAGCAGCCTTGTTGTCACAATATAGTCTCATAGGTCCATCATCATGAATTCCCGACTCTCCCAATAGTGTTTAGGGCCACATAGGCTCACAGACTCTATGTGACATTGCTCTATATTCAGCTTCCGTACTAGATCTAGCTACTACTGCATATCATCTACTGACTAGATCTATGCAATAACTTGAAGTAGATCTTCTATCATCTATTGAGCCCACCCAACGTTACTAAATGTTTCCAACTTCAAGTGACCATTATTAGCGAATAGGATTCTTTTTCCTAGATACCTCAATATGCGATATACGGCTTCAAGATGGGGGGTTTGAGGAATGTGCACAAATTGACTAACACTCACTACATAAGTGATGTTTAGTCAAGTATGTAATTGATATATTGATCTCCCCACTAGTATCTAGTATCTCTTTTTCTCTACTGCCTTACCAACACCACCACTTAGTCGATGATTGACTTCAATAGGAGAATCTGTAGGTCTACATCCCAATATCCTTGTCTCCTCAAGAAGGTCAAGAACATATTTCCTCTAGGATATAAAGATACCTCTGTCTAATCTGGCAACCTCAATTCTAAGAAAATATCTCAATGGACCCAATTCTTTGATTTCGAACTCTTTGGCCAATTGAGCTTTCAACTTGGTGATTTCATGTTCACTATTTTTAGTTATCACTATATCATCCACATAGATAATAACAACTGCAATCTTGTCTTAAACCAATTTGACGAACACGGTATGATCTGTCTAACTCTGTTTGTATCCAAATTTCAGCATGGCTTTGAGAAACCTATCAAACCAAGCTTTAGGAGATAGCATTAACCCATAAAGATATTTCTTCAGCTTAAACCCTATCCCAAATTTGTTGCACAAAAGATAAGAGCACGTATGGAGTTTATCTTTGTCACATGAGCAAAAGTTTCTTAATAATCAATATCATATGTTTGAGAAAATCCCTTAGCAACCAACCTAGTTTTGTACCTTTCAACAGTCACATCTTTTTTTTGTTTGACAATAAACACCCATCTGCACCCTATTGCCCTTACTCTAGCAGGAATAGGAACCAATTCCCATGTGTCATTTTTTTTTTCAAGGACAAAGGAGACAAGGAAGAAAAAAAAGTACAATAATATGGATACAAGGAATTAAAAGAGACAAAATTAGAGATAGGATGTTGAGTACAAGCTCGAACACCCTTTCTAACTACAAAAGGAATATCAAAGTCATCAACAACTAGATTATCAATAATAGGAGTAACATCTGGAGGTGCATTACTTGATAAATTAGTGGAGGATAAAACTAGAGTTGAGGGTTCCAATTGACGCAGCGACACATGCATAATCTGTATTTTTTTTTTCGCTCGGAATAAGTCTTCAAATTATCCTTGTTAAAGTGAACACTATTTGGATCATTACCATCACCTTTTTTCTCCATAAGTTATTGCTCCCCCTTACTAACATTCCATTGAACACGCAATTGAATAAGAGACTTCTGACAAAACATCTATTCTCCTAGTGGTGGATAATAGAGGAAAATGACTCAAATTCACGAAAGGTAGCATCCATGCTAACATATCATTTATATCCCTTCTGAGTGGCAGAGTAACCAACAAAAACACATCACAGAGCCTTGGGTCAAGTTTTTCCCTAGAGGGTCTGTAACCATGTGCAAAATAAACACACCCAAAAACTTTAAGGAGAATGGAAGAAATAAAAGGAATGAAAAAAAACTCAGAAAGACACTCGATAGAAGACCTAAACTAGAGGATGCTCGAAGGTAGACGATTAATAAGATAAGCAACAGTAAGAATTGTATCCTCAGAAAGATTGAGGAACATTCATAGCAAACATCAATGAGGGAGCAACCTCAAGAAGCTAACGATTTTTTCGCTCAGCAACACCATTTTGTTCAAGGGTACACACACAAGTGATTTGGTACAAGATGTCATTTTCATTGAGATAAGAACAAAATTTCTCATCAATATACTCAGTTATATTATCACTTCGAAGAATTTTGACTTTGCAATCAAACTGAGTACCCACCATTTTATGGAAAGATCTAAAGCATGAAAAACTTCACTTTTACTACATAGCAGGTAAACACACGTAAGACAAGAATAACAATTAATAACGGTAGCAAACCAAAAATAGCTAGAAATAGACATAACACGAGAAGGGCCCCACGCATCTAAAGGAATAATAGCAAAAGATGTATTGCTTCTATGGTTAATACTACGATAAGATGAATGTTTATGGTTGGGAAATTCAAAAGCATCACTAACAAAGGATTGTCTACTACACTGCTTCACTAAGACTAGGAAAAAGATATTCTAAAACCCCGAATGATAGATGCCCTAAACGTTTATGTCACTGATGTAAGAGCTGAAGAGCTGAAATACCATTTATTTGGAGAGCCTGACTGATAGACTGAGAATAAATTTAAGATCACCATGTGCTCAATCATTGCCAATCATTTTTCCTGATTCTAGTTCCTAAAATATACAATGAGTGGGGGAAAAATCACAGAACAATTTAAGGATTTGATAATTCTACTACTTGATGAATTGGTGAGTAAAAAGGGATACAAACTAAGTGTAGAGTCCCCATATATATAATCAATAAAAGTCACAATAAGGATAAAAATATAAAACAGGAAAAAACTCTAATAAACCCTAATAACCTAAGTTGCTATAACTCCAACACTCCCCCTCAAGTTAGGTGCAAGAATATCAACTAAGTCAAGCTTGATAACGGAGTCTCGAAGAATGGATAGAATGACAGGTTTAGTGAAAATATTCGCAACCTGATCACTGGTCCCCACAAACGATGGAGTGATAATACCACTGTTAACCTTCTCTCAAAGAAAATGAACATCGATCTTTATATACTTCATCCTCTTGTGTAATATAAAGTCAGAAGTGAGATAAATAACAGATCGATTATCACAATATAATGTAGATGAAGAAGTCACTGAAAACTCTAACTCGCCAAGAATCAATCGTAGCCAGATAATCTCACATGTGTCAAGTGTCAGTGCCTGATACTCTGTCTCTGCTAACGAGCAAGAGACAACTGACTGCTTCTTGCTCTTCCAAGGGATAAGATGAGTCCCTCAAAAAGCACAGAAACCCGTAGTAGATTGACCGTCACATGCTCCCCCATAATCTGAATATATATAACAGGCTAGAAAACCAGTCTGAGATCTTGATGCATAGAACAACCCAAGTTTACGACAAAACTTGAGGTGCCGAAGAATATGATAAACTACATCAAGATGAGGTTGACATGGCCTATGCATGAACTGACTAACTCGGCTGACAGCGAATGAAATGTCTGGCCTAGTGTTGGCTAGGTAGATAAGTCTATCTACCAATCTCTGATAAACAATCGGATCACTCAACTCCTCACCTTCAATAGTAAGCTTTGGGTTTAGAATCATGGGAGACGATGACAGTTTACACCCTAACATCCCAGTGTCCGGTAGAAGATCCAGAATATACTTCATTTGAGAAAGAACAATACCCTTGCTGTTACGGGTAACCTCAATCCCAAGAAAGTATCACAGAAATCCAAGGTCCTTCACATCGAAAGCCTTCTCAAGGTCTACCTTGACCTGTGCAATCCCAGAAATATCATCCCTGGTAATAATAATATCATCTACATATACCAAAAGGATGACACACTGCCCAGAAGTATTCCATCGAATAAAGCATGTATGATCTGAATGATATCTGCTGAACCCTAAACGTACAACTATACCACCAAACCG